TGCTCTAACAGTCTGCAAAGAATAATAAGCCGGATCCAATTAAAAGATTAAGGAACAGCGCAATCTGCAACATTAACCGAATTAGATAATTTTAGCTTAGCTTATACCGTCCGTTATACATTAAACGCGCATTCGTAAACGTATTTTGCGCACACGCCTATTCACAGCCGTAAAGGTCTTGCGCACATGAGTCAACACGACGCATGCGCAGAAAGTTTGGGTACTTTTCCGTTCGGCCGGCGCAAATCTCGCCAAGCAGACTTTATTGGCGACAACATACAGTATACACATAAAAAATATTTTAAAAAATGTTAGTTCTAAGAATTCTTTTTTTGAAGGCATAAACATTTTAATATCGCTTAAAATTTTATAAAAAGCCAATAAATAAAGACAATAAATTTGTAAAAAGACATTAATTAATTTAAGAATTTACTATGCTTTCATGGTTCAACATCTTGATTCGCTGGTTCATATCACGTGACCCCAAGCGATCTCATCTCACATAAACTACTCTACAAAAATCTAATGCTCGCAGTAATTATCTACATTAATTTCAAGTTAAATCTTAATTTGGAACACAAGTTTAAATGCAAGAAATATTTCAATTCGTACGAATAACTTACTCAGAAATTATGTAAAGCTGCAGTGCTTTACTTCGCTAATGCATTCTCATTAGAATTGATGAATTTAACCCTTGACTTACATTTTCTATATTTTCGGCTTCAGGTAAGCGCTGTGATTGCATCCTGATTGACTTAATTACTGAAAATGGCCTTAGACATAAAACTGAACTATCTGATAAAAATTCTATGTAATTATATGCCACTATTGAAAGAAACAATCAATCTGATAAGAAAAAGCTGCGACTTGTTTTGAAAATGAAGCGTAAAAGGTTACCAGCGAGAATATTCCGCTTGGCATCGGTTGTACCATTATTGGCGACTTTATCGCTTACGCCGGCAAAAGGGAAAAGTACCAAAGTTTGTAGCTTTGAGGTCCGGATTATGGGTGTCCGAATTAACAACTTTTGACTGTACATATATGCATGCATATATGAACATACATATATTCAGGCACTTCAGAATTTGTTCGCAAAAACAGAAAAGTACCAAGCATACTTCACATCTTCATCCCTGCTACTGCAGCTGCATAAAGCACTTGAAGCAAGTCCAAATCATTTTAAATATCTTTTAAATTTACATGTACAGTCAAAAATTTAGTTATTTTAAAATCTGCTGAAAATACTATGGAAAAAAAACTTTTTGTACATTGTGCTTTTGGCAAGAGCAGATATTCTCAATTCCAAATACAGATAGCATCATTTCTATAAAAGCGCTTCCAGTGAGAAATAAGAACACAGAGATTTAAATCAATTTGAAATTTCATGGCTAGCACTGCTACACATCAAATGTAAGCAAAATGAATGTCAATTCCAAGATCTTGCAAGGTCTTAAAAATTACCTGAAATACCCAGTTTCTATGAAGTGCTAACTTTCTGTAATAATTGTAGCTAAGCACTACAATGCAGACTGATCTCAAACCACTACAAGAATTTTGGGGAAAAGTGCAGAATCATCCACTGCTTCGGACATTTTGCAAAATTGTCAACTTGAAAATAAAAAGGTCAAAGAATTTCACAAACTCGGTATCCATGTACACATTGACCTATTTTCACTTTAAAAAACATCAGAGAATTGCACTGCACACTCTCTTGACTTTGTCTATGTACACATTGATACGCACCATATAAGTGGGCGATTCTGCATCAACTTAAAAATAACAAGTCAAAGATTTGCACAAATTTGGTATCCATGTACACATCAACCTATTTTCACTTTAAAAAAATCACAGAATTACACAAACTTGACTTTCTGCATGTACACATCGATATGCGCCATATAAGTGGACAATTCTGCACTTTACCGGAATTTTGAATCCATTTCACAGCAAGGTACTCTAATGTTCTACTCTTCAGAGAACTGACAGACTATAAATTAGCCCAGATGATTATATTTGCTTGCAAGACATTTTTCATGTTCTCCATTCCTTGCATTTAATTTTTTTAAACGTAATTCTGAAATGAATTTGGGTTGATCTTTACAATATGGTAACTGATAGTTTGGCGACATTTTGGAGGCGATAAAGGTTACTACCTGGGACTTTGGTAATAATGTGAGCAGTACTCAGTTCCGATTACGCATTTTTTTGTGTGGGGGAAATGAAGAGATCATGGGATATGTCATGTGATATTAATGACGAATTACTGTTCTTTAATCGGGAAAAAATCTGGCAATTTTGTATTTGGCTTATTCTGTGTTGTGTGAAATAGTGTTTGTGAATTTTGGATCCCATGGGCCAAACTAAAGTGAATTCGAAATGGTATTTAGTGGTATTGAAAAGGAAGTAATAATGTTTTTTTTAAGGTTGTGCGAGAGAGAAATAAAGAGGTTTTATTATGTTATTTATTTTACCTGTAATCTTGCTTTGAGAAGTAGATTTTAAAGATTCTGAAACAAGGAAGAATTGTATCCCCACGTAATCAAGATTCTGAGAAGATTAGGTAAGTTAGTATTTTAATTATTCGAGATATTAGTTTATGCATTGTTGTAAATTAAGGTGGAAAGGAATTGGTATTATTGGAAAAATTGTTATTACATGATTTAGTTAAGTAATTTAGATTGTAAGGTAATTTTTTATTTAATGTATGTGCATTTATATTTTAAGCAGTGTTTTTGAATTTAATTATATTTTTAATGAAATGATATTTATTTTGTGATTTTATGTTTGTAGGAATTTATACGTTTAAGTTGAAATAACGTGCATGGAAATAATTTAAATATTTGATATTAAGTATTTGTAATGCTTGCGGTATGAAATTCGTTGGCGACGTGTATAATGTAAGATGATTTAGAGGTAAAAGTTTTGGATATTTATTTATTTTATATGTGGAAATGTTGATATTTGTAAAGGGTAAATACTTTTCGCGATCATGTAATTTCATAATATGTTCTTTTACCGGGTTTAAAGATTGAGAAAATTGTCATGTATTTCGTGAAATTTTTTTTAATTTATGAGAAAAAGCAGTGTACATGGATATAGTCAAGAGTGTGCGCAATGCCATTTTTGTGCAATTCTGGGATGTTTTTAAGTAAAAATAGTCAACGTGTTACATGGTTAGTTAGGTGATATGTAATGAAATGAGTTTTTTGTGAATTTTATGCTTGTAGGAATTTGGTATACGTTTAAGTTGAAATTACGTGCATGGAAATAATTTAAATATTTGAATTAAGTATTTGTAATGCTTGCGGTATGAATTCGTTGGCACGTGTATATGTAATAGATGATTTAGAGGTAAAGTTTTTGGATATTCTATTTATTTTATATGTGGAAATGTTGATATTTGTAAAGGGTAAATACTTTTCGCGATCATGGTATTTCATATATGTTCTTTTTTACCGGGTTTAAAGATTGAGAAAATTGTCATGTATTTTCGTGAAATTTTTTAATTTATGAGAAAAAAGCAGTGTGTGGATAGTGAAGGTGTGCGCAATGCCATTTTTTGTGCAATTCTGGGATGTTTTTTTAAAGTAAAATAAGTCGTGTACATGGTTTAGTGTATTGTTATGAAATGATGTTATTTTGTGAATTTTATGCTTGTAGGATTTGGTAGACGTTAAGTTGAAATAAACGTGCATGGAAATAATTTAAATATTATATTAAGTATTTGTAATGCTTGAGGTATGAATTCGTTGGTAACGTGTTAATGAATAGATGATTGGAGGTAAAAGTTTGGATATTCATTTATTTTATGTGGAAAGTTGATATTTGGAAAGGGTAAATACTTTTTCGTCATGTATTATATATGTTTTTTACGGGTTTAAAGATTGAGAATTGTCATGTATTTTCGTGAAATTTTTTTAATTATGAGAAAAAAAGCAGTGTTGGATATAGTGCAGAGTGTGCGCAATGCCATTTTTGTGCAATTCTGGGATGTTTTTTAAGTAAAATAAGTCGGCGTGTACATATGTTTATGTGTATGTGTTATTTGAAAAAATGCGTAGGAGATGGTATTGTGCGTTTTTCCTAATTTTGCAGTGAATATTGTCAGTAAGCAGTTTTGTTTGATAAATTTCTAGCATAAGTGTAATAGGTAGTAGATTGTTGGAAGAAGTGTTCAGGAGATAAAAGAAAGAAACATGTCTTTACTTCGTGAAGACAAAATGGCGGCGGGGAAAAAAAATAGAGGGTTGCTGTAGGAGAGTTGGTCGCGAAATTTTCGCCAAAAAATCGCCAAGTTACCATAATGTAAAGATCAACCTGAATCTGATATCAAGAACCTTGTCTTTCAAGATTTACTGTACAGTAATACAAGCAAATATATATGAGCAGATACCATATTTTATTCCAAATCTGTTCTCTGTATGAATTTCATTCTGAACAGAAGTTCTTAATATTGTTATAAATTTGTTTCTTAACCTCAACTTATTTTTAAAACAACTTAAACTATCTCCATCATAAACACCACCTTTACTGATCATCATAATGTCTGTAAATCCCATGTGTACCATATACTAGGATTAAACCGCAAAGCTCTTTAAAACATTTTTCTTCAGTGCTTCCAGTTTGAAGATTTTTTTTTAAAGACTTTGACTATTAACATTACTTCTGAAATATTTTCCTACCAAAAAAGGCCCTAAATTACAGTATAAAAAATTTTCTGTCTTAAATTTCAGTTAACATTTGACTACAAATACGTATTAGCTAAGCAACAGAAAAAAAAAAAAAAAAATGGATTTTGTTTAAATTAATGAAACATCAATATACTACTGTACATATACAAAAGTGAAAAAGAAGTATTCTTTTTTAAGAACTTTATACCATTACCAAAACATTCAAGAACAGAAAAATCTGTAGATGAAAGCTAAGGCATACAGAAACAAAAAGTTAAATTTAAAATCATCATTAACATAAATCCAATTTAGACACAATTTAAAGGATACATCGAACATGTTTCTCCTTCACAGGTGATTCCTGACAATTAATAGCTTTAGATATACTCACACTCTGAAAAGAGAGTAAAGCTTTAGATATAATCACACTCTGAAAAGAGTAAAGAATCTATAAACAAATGCATTTACAAATATTAAAAAATTATCTTATTAGGTAGAATTAATAATTTAATCAAATACTTCATTTTCTATTCGATTATTTAAACATGATAATTAAACTAAATTACAATTTTTTAAAAAAAATTAGTTGTCATTAACGAAAAATTAAACATAATAAAACTATAATTGATAAAAATTATCATAAAAAAAGTGCTCAGAACCATTGCCGCATAATACAAGCTAGAACTTCCTGATGTAGCTTTGACCACAAATATGTTAAATCCGTTTAAAGAGGGTTGAAAAAATTCGTTCACGTTCCAGTAAAACTATGATTAAAGAGCGTGAAGAGTGAACTCAAGTGTTTTGACTTCAAATAATCAGTTCTGCATGAAAGACACATACCTGAACGGGAGGCGTAAGGCGTTAACATCTGTCAATTGTTTGAACTGTCACTTACCTGAGATCTTTCAAAATTCTCTCTTTCTGCATCCAAACTGTTGGTTTTCCTTTGTGGAAGAACTTTAGAGAGTGGTAAAGCGCACATGCTCTCTCAATCACCAATTTCTTTACAAAAACAAACACTCTCAAGAATTTAAAAAAAAAAATGTGAAAGAAAGGAATTCAACAATTTCCGCCTTGGTCTAATTGACACAAGGAAATTCTAATCTGAAAGGGTCTCATGCAGATGTATATAAGGTCTGCTTTATAAACCATTTTTAAATTTTAACACTGGAAACCGGTTACAAGCAATCAAATAAACGTCAAACATATTATAAACAATTTACGCTCCAGAAAGTCTTACAGATGTATTACACCGTTTACATAAATGCTGCCATTTTAGAAAAAATAACTATGTAATGTAAACTTAAACATCCTGTTGTGGCATGAATTAATAATTTTAAGAAAAGACGCACATAAAACCCGCGTTCAAAAGGAATTTGAAATTTGTAACTCAATAATTGACCATTGTTTTAAATTCTTTGAAATTATTTTAAGTTTTTCCTACATAGAAGCCGATATTTATTTCTCCCAATGCCCTAAAGAAATGAAGAGCAACTATTCCGCATTACAGTAATGTATTCTGATTAAAGATTTCATAAATTATTTATATTCATGAGCTTTTATTGTCGATAGTTTCTTAAGAAAGGATCTGAATGTTAAAAAAACTTAATATGACCATGCACATCTACATCAAGCACTCCGTTTTGCTAGGAATATGTAACGTCTTAAGCTATTTTATCGACCACGACGAAGTTCTGAGAAAAAGAATGGCCACCTCGAAAGTTCCCACGGACAGAGTATTTCTTAACAAATTCTCGGAAAGATGAAGTTACCAGCAGTCACAAAAGAATCTCAAGATTTTGTTTCTCTTAGAGTTGTTCGAAGACAAACATTGTTTCGTTCCCTTTCATCAATTTATAGGTGCAATGTCTCAGACAACCCGGTTTGAGTCCCCAGTTGGAACCGGAAAGTTCTCACGGACGTTTTTCCCAGGCTGTCTTTACCATATCCACTTTTTAATCAAAGTGCTCTTGTCAATCAATAGGCACTTCTAAAAATTACGGACAAATGAAGACCCTGAAATTTTTCTTGACACGCCCAGAACACCTTGAACAAAATCATGGAACTCAGTCCCAGCAAAGAACGTTTCGTTCGTTTCTCTCCCTTCCACGAGCAAATGTTATAAGTTTATTTATTTTTATTTTTTGCATATAGTCTAGGAAGAACCCAAATAAATTTATTTGCGCACCTCTTTCCTTTTGAATTCGTCATAGCTATAGAGGCTATGTGTAAAAACTTTAGAGATACTGCATCCACTATCGACTTAATAAGAAGGGATCATGTAACATCGGAAATGTTGTTAAAAGAAACTGTCTTGATTAAGCAACCTTTGGACCCGCAACCAGTATGTTTGTCTCTTGCACAAGTAGAACTCGAAGGAGAGAATTGTGGAAAGGTAATTACCAAAACAGCATTAATTAGCCCAGACCTCAATCAGGAATATTATCAGTTCTTACAGTAGGGTACGGAGGGGAACTATAACAATCAGACATTGTGAATAAAGTTTCTGTTTAGAATTAATCGACTCTCTTAAGTCGGTGGTTGTCGGACTGAGCTGGATGCTCTCCAGTAAAGTAGCGGCGAACCTGGCTACCTCGCTGTAATCTCTTGGCAGAGATACTAATACCACTCTACGCAGAGCGAAATAGAATTTGCTCGTGGCCGAGTTGAGAAACCGAAAGAAGGTTTCTCTCTCTACTTACCGTAACTCACTCTCACTCGCTCTCCTTCCTGGAACTGTGTTCCGTGATTTTGTTCCAGCTGTCCTGGGCGTGTCGAAAAAAATTTCAGGATCCTCATTAGTCCGTAATTTTTAGAAGTGCCTTTTGATTGGCAAGAGCACTTTGATTAAAAACTGGATATGATGAAGACAGCCTGGGAAAAACGTCCGTGAGAACTTTCCAGTTCCAACTGAGGAATCAAACCGGGTGATCTGAGACACTGCACCTATAAACTGATGAAAGGGAACGGAACAATGTCTCCCTTCGAACAACTATAAGAGAAACAAAAACCTGAGATTGTTTTGTGACTGCTGGTCACTTCACCTTTCCGAGATTTTGTTAAGAAATACTCAGTCCGTGGGGAATTTCGAGGTGGCCATTCTTTTTCTCAGAACTTCGTCGTGGTCGATAATATAGCTTAAGACGTTACAGTGAGAAAAACAAACAAAACAAAACTTGCATATTTACAATTTTTATTAAAAGCACATGAAAATTTAATTTACCAGACAATTCAAAACATTAAGGAAGCTGAACCATAGCATACTAACAGAAACTCAAAAATTGAGCAGGTATACATAAGACGCGACAGTACATCATGAAATAAATAACATTAAAATAATATATTAATTTAAAGAGGATTCGGGAAGATTTTCAGAAACAAATACGCACTTCTGACATGAAGACAAAATGTTATCTCGTCTAACTTTTATCACGCATATCTAGTGGCATAGCTAGAAGTTGGCTGAGAGGGAGGTTTACCTTGGGTCGCGCAAGTTTAGGCTCTGCCCGAGCCTAAAAATTTTAATTTTTGGGGTGAATTTTTATTTGCATGATTTTTTTAAAATTATTTTATAATTTGTATGTAATTTTTTGCGTAAATTTCCCTAATTTTCTGAGTAAATCATTTGCTATGTGGCTATAGAGTTTATTTGCTATAAGGCCATAGGTTAATCAGGTGAATCATCGAGACAAATGAAGAACAATCAGACTCTAAATTGTCATACGGAATTAAATTTAAAAGAAATGTGTTTTTAGTCCAGATAAAGTGTTCAAAGAAATCGTGTCGTGATTTTTTAATAGCTACATACATTTGTTATATCTGTTATATATAGTTTGGTAATGCAAATTAGAAACGTCAACTAAATTATGAGCACGGTGCCATTAATAAGGAAGAATTCTTCGTTAAGAAAGAAGCATTTCAGAATTTTATTTTGATTTATATTATTATTTATTTTATTTCCATTCTAAAATACGATCTCCAAAACAAAGTTCCAAATACTGTGTTTACTAGTGCAAATTTCTTTCTCAACTGCTCTACATGTAGCTAGAAGCTTGTTCTAAGTTAACAGAATTTAGGAATTACAAGTATATATTTTGCATTTAAGAAACCTTTTTTATTGTCTACATAACAGCAAAAACAATCAAATAGATCTTTACAATGTCATAAATGGTTTAGCAAGGAAAAAAAAAAAAAAAAAGAGGGGGGGGGATTTTAAAAGGCTGGAATTAAAGTTTTTCTTCAAAAATAAACAAAGGATTTTAATATATTTCCATGCATGTAGTTTCGACATTTTATGTAGTTACTTGTTTGTATATCAGAGCAGCGAAAATTTCAGGGTTCGTCCTAGGCGGCAAACTCAAGAACCACCCCCAGCAGCAAAAGGCCGATGCTATTCGCACCAGTGGTGCCATTAGTCGCTTAAGCTATTCGCACCAAGGAGGTTAGAATAGGTGGTGCGAATCAAGGAGGCTATTTTAACCTCCTTGATTCGCACCACCATTAATCACGCATGCACATTGAATTGTCAGATCAGGTAACGGATTCCAGGTACGCGAACTGCCCGAATCTTTTTTTTTTAAAGGGGGTTACTACCATGGCGTAGTTTATCATTTTTTAAGCGTTGGCGACTTTCAAATGTTTAGAAAGAAAAATGGGTTCCTTTTCTTATAAAAAGAAGAAACATTTCTTTTTATTAAAGTATATAGGAAGTAAAAAGAGTAGATTTTTATGTTCGCAATGTTTATAGTTTTCCTGAACGGTTCGAATAGTTTAAATGACTGATTAGTGGGGGAGGGGGATCTTGTTTACATTTTTTGTACTTGTTAGAATACATTTAGCTTCAAAGATGTGTTTTGCACATTCAAGACTTTAATTCATTCCTCTTTGAAAATTGTCTGAGAAAATAAAATAAAAATTATACAGAGGATTTCTGTGTAGAAAATTTAGAAATAAGTTAAAAGCGATTAAATCAACTATAAAATGAATAATTAATCATATCACACTGGTTATTAACAATTTAGTATGCCTGTTTATATTTTTATGGAAATACTTGGCATTTTCAGGACACAAAAGGTATTTCAAAGAAGTTTGAAATATTAGTACAAACACATTAATAAATTAGATTGAAATAAATGATGGGATGTAATTTAAAAGACAGAAATAATTTAATGTAAGCGATTTAAATTTAAAAATTTGCGCATACAAATGATTTATCAGATTTTCTAAGGTTTTATTTCATAAATAACTTTGATTTTCAATATGGTATTTTAACCTATAAACCCGAGTGGATACTATGAAAGTGATGAATATATAAGAATATTATAATTTTCACTAAATTTTCTTATTGAATTATAATTCTGACAGTCCAATGCTATAAGACTAAACCAGACGGAAGGGCTGCGCCCGTCTAAGTTTGCATAACTATTTCTCAGTTAAATAAAAGAATTTAAGTAATTTCTGCAGCCTTTTTGTCAATACATTAAAGATTTTTTAACTAATTACACATCCTCTCTTGCAAATAGAACCATCATTAAATCCCTATTTTTTCTAATCATTTCCTGAATATTATCATGTATATAGATTGACTTCGTCTTTGTAACCGATAATTATTACTTGGAAATTATTCTCTTGCTGGTGAACAATTAACAACCCTTTCTATTGCTGGGTTAACAATCTTTGCTCTCGCTACCGCCTACCTTTTTACGGAAATCGGCGTAAAATGCTGGTACCTGGACTGATTGTGCGCATGCGCGCACGTAGGTGGTGTGAATAGCTTCTTGGCTAATCGCACCGTTATGATTAATTATGTTAGGGGGGATAATTTGCATTCCTTCTTCATTATCTTTTAACTCTTCATCAAAGCATTACAGCTTTAGAAGGACAATTTTACCATGCAACAGCTCTTCCAAGGAAGTTTGGTAAACTGTCTAGAGATAAAACCGGATTTAGCTAGCTGGTCAAATTATTCACTATTTTTTCCTGGTTAAAAATCATTGTCTAATTAAAATGTCTTTAATTTTATAATGGATAACACCATTTAATTGATGGAAAGTAGGTTTAAAGGGCATAGGAAGTTGTATGAAGACGTATCTCTTCTCGATCCCAAAAAACCTTTCGAAGCCAATGTCGTCGAACTCTTTCGACTATTTATCTATATTACTAGGACACTATGCAGGTGTAACAATTGATCATTTTAAGGACGAATATTAGGAACTAGTAACCAAATGAGAAACACTTAAAAATTCAAACTGAAAA